GTAACAATTCTGTGTCCCTGAGTAACGATTCTGTGTCCCTGAGTAACGATTCTGTGTCCCTCAGTAACGATTCTGTGTCCCTGAGTAACGATTCTGTGTCCCTCAGTAGACGATTCTGTGTCCCTCAGTAACTAAATTCTGTGTCCCTGAGTAACGATTTCTGTGTCCCTGAGTAACAATTCTGTGTCCCTGAGTAACGATTCTGTGTCCCTGAGTAACGATTCTGTGTCCCTGAGTAACAATTCTGTGTCCCTGAGTAACGATTCTGTGTCCCTGAGTAACAATTCTGTGTTGCTGAGTAACAATTCTGTGTCTGTGTCCCTGAGTAACGATTCTGTGTCCCTGAGTAACAATCTGTGTCCCTGAGTAACGATTCTGTGTCCCTGAGTAACGATTCTGTGTCCCTGAGTAACGATTCTGTGGCCCTAAAGTCTCTGTGGGCCCTAACTCTGTCCCTAATACAGACAGGTCTGTCTCTCTTGAATGACCGGAGGCTAATGGAGAATTCTAAGATGGCCGCAATTTATAGCTCCACCATTACACAGTGCTGGCTGGCTGGCTGCTGATTGGCTAATGCGATCACAAGTCATGAATGAATGCATTATGGTCCCAGTAAAAGGGGTCAGAGGAATAGGAAATTATAGGAAACCTTTCTAATGGGGACAGAAAAACAAAAACAATAGAAGAATGGGAAAAGGTTAGATCCATTTGTCATTTTGTTTTTTGTTACTTGTTTCATCATTTCTTGTCCTGGTGTCACAGGGATAAAAAAAACAACAAAAAACAAAAAAAAAGGGATTGATTTGCATACAACAAAAAAAGTTGACACAAGGAAAAAAAATTAATTGGCTTAAATTAGGCTCTAACACACATTTTAAAAACACATATTCTCACTAAATGTATTCAAAATCAAAATGTAACATCCTGCTGCAATGTCATTGACACACTCTGCTAAAGGTTTTATGGATCGTATAGGCTGAACTGCAGGACTTTGTTAGAAGGCTGCTTATTGGGGAACTACATTTTTCCCAGAAGAGCTGGTGTGTGGGCAGAGGCATATAAATGTGAAAGCCCAGGAACAGGAAGTGAGAGGGGGAGAGCTGAAGCAAAGACAGAATTGTCCTGAGTGCTGGAGAACTGAACCAGGCTGCATAGCTAGAGAGAGGAGAATCAAGGAAGAGTTGCTGACTGTTAGCCTTGCCACCCTGTTCAGCGAGGCAGTCTGCCAGCAGGTGACCCAAAGCATGGTGACTGGGTGGAATGCTGCAAATGAAACCAGAGAACCTTTGGGATCCCCCATTCGCATGACAGAGAGAGACAGCCAAGACCTGTTGGAAGCCACCAATTGGGTGAGAGAGTCCCATACACCAGTTAAACAAGAGAACATTCACTGGCAGAGGAATCCTCACTGCATTTAAAAGGCCATTGACTACCCTGGTAAAAGAGCTATTTATCTCATATTTAAGCCTTGCCATCAGATTCTGAAGGCCCAAAGTGAGCTAGTTCTCCTGTTGCTAGTTTTCATTGCTCACTGGGATTGACTACACCTTAGGTTGAAGGTATTGGGTTAACTTCCGAAAAGCAGGCCTGCTGACACTGATTGACAGCCTGCTGTATGTGTTGTTTCTTTGCTTAGAGTTGCTAAGAGTGATAATTGCTATTCCATTTACCAATACCATTTTGTACTGTTTAACCAACCTTACATTGAAGTTATTATAAAGCTCATATCAGTTTACTCTAATTTGTGTGTGCGCGCCTGCTTTCTGGTGGTAATTTACTCTGGTCAAAGGAGTCCTGTGGTGTCAGCAGGGGTTGGGCTTTCAGAAAGGGGTCCAGAACGTCAGGGAGCCTGGAAATAACTCAGCAACTCCTCTAAGGGGGTAGTGCTACATGTATCTATAGCCAAACCCTTATAGTTTTTTGGTTTTGAATATAATGGGAAAGGTTTTAAGACCCTTGTGTTTTTTTTTCTTTGCAGTTGCCTAACCAGAAAATCATGCTTCAAAAATTATAAATGCCAAGGATATTAGTCACTGTTTGAATATCTTTATTGGTGCTAATGCAAATTGCTAACAACTACAGCTTAGCATTCACATGAATGGCAATAAATGGATCTTCAGCTGAGCTGCTGATTGTGAAGCGAGCCGAGCCAGTGCTGCCCACAGTGACCTGTACACCAGTACAGCGAGTGCCTTCTTTCTGTCCAGAGATGACATCACAGTATGTGCCAGCAGGAAGTCCAGTGTTCAGAGTGACATCCATGTTCCTGCAAGAATAAGTGAATGATTAAATTATGAGTAACTCCCAGGCATTTTAAGCCACTGGATTTCTTTTTCCAGAGACCATGGAATTTTGCATGACAATACCCACCTTGGGGAATTCTCACACTGGTTAGTTCATTGATCCCATTGTAAATTCAAGTAAAAACCCAAGAAGTAGAATGATGTTGCCTCTTGTTGAACTATTGCATTTACAGTCAGGTCCATAAATATTGGGACATCGACACAATTCTAACATTTTTGGCTCTATACACCACCACAAGGGATTTGAAATGAAACGAACAAGATGTGCTTTTACTGCAGACTGTCAGCTTTAATTTGAGGGTATTTACATCCAAATCAGGTGAACGGTGTAGGAATTACAACAGTTTGCATATGTGCATCCCACTTGTTAAGGGACCAAAAGTAATGGGACAGAATAATAATCATAAATAAAACTTTCACTTTTTAATACTTGGTTGCAAATCCTTTGCACTCAATTACAGCCTGAAGTCTGGAACGCATAGACATCAACAGACGCTGGGTTTCATCCCTGGTGAAAGGCCTCCACTGCAACTGTCTTCAGTTCCTGCTTGTTCTTGGGGCATTTTCCCTTCTGTTTTGTCTTCAGCAAGTGAAACGCATGCTCAATCGGATTCAGGTCAGGTGATTGACTTGGCCATTGCATAAAACATTCCACTTCTCTCCCTTAAAAAACTCTTTGGTTGCTTTTGCAGTATGCTTTGGGTCATTGTCCATCTGCACTGCGAAGCGGCGTCCAATGAGTTCTGAAGCATTTGGCTGAATATGAGCAGATAATATTGCCTGAAACAGTTCAGAATTCATCCTGCTGCTTTTGTCAGCAGTCACATCATCAATAAATACAAGAGAACCAGTTCCATTGGCAGCCATACATGCCCACGCCATGACACTACCACCACCATGCTTCACTGATGAGGTGCTATGCTTAGGATCATGAGCAGTTCCTTTCCTTCTCCATACTCTTCTCTTCCCATCACTCTGGTACAAGTTGATCTTGGTCTCATCTGTCCATAGGATGTTGTTCCAGAACTGTGAAGGCTTTTTTAGATGTCATTTGGCAAACTCTAATCTGGCCTTCCTGTTTTTGAGGCTCACCAATGGTTTACATCTTGTGGTGAACCCTCTGTATTCACTCTGGTGAAGTCTTCTCTTGATTGTTGACTTTGACACACATACACCTACCTCCTGGAGAGTGTTCTTGATCTGGCCAACTGTTGTGAAGGGTGTTTTCTTCACCAGGGAAAGAATTCTTCGGTCATCCACCACAGTTGTTTTCCATGGTCTTCCGGGTCTTTTGGTGTTGCTGAGCTCACCGGTGCATTCCTTCTTTTTAAGAATGTTCCAAACAGTTGTTTTGGCCACGCCTAATGTTTTTGCTATCTCTCTGATGGGTTTGTTTTGTTTTTTCAGCCTAATGATGTCATGCTTCACTGATAGTGACAGCTCTTTGGATCTCGTCTTGAGAGTTGACAGAAACAGATTCCAAATGCAAATAGCACACTTGAAATGAACTCTGGACCTTTTATCTGCTCATTGTAATTGGGATAATGAGGGAATAACACACACCTGGCCATGGAACAGCTGAGAAGCCAATTGTCCCATTACTTTTGGTCCCTTAACAAATGGGAGGCACATATCCAACTGTTGTAATCCCTATACTGTTCACCTGATTTGGATGTAAATACACTCAAATTAAAGCTGACAGTCTGCAGTTAAAGCACATCTTGTTTGTTTCATTTCAAATCCATTGTGGTGGTGTATAGAGCCAAAAATGTTAGAATTGTGTCGATGTCCCAATATTTATGGACCTGACTGTATATATATCTAGGAACTCAAAGGCGGAGGTTTCTTTTAAAGGTCCCGTAGCGATACAATATAATATTTAGGTAGTTTAACTTTCCAGTGTCCTCCAATAAAATGTAACCTTAACATTATGCATAACAATGATAAAATCTGAAGCTGTGCATAGTTGATTGCATGATTATCAAACAGGCACTATAAATATATCAGCTATTGGACTAGTTTATGTTTACCTAACACCAGCACTCAGGAGAATATAAATGGCCCACAACCCCACCATCATCTCATGCAGTATTTCTCAACCTGTGGAACCTCAGGACCCACATTTGTCCTTGGTCATTAAGTCATGACCCAAAAATAATTTAATTTCCGAAACATTATAATTTATTCCAGAAAACAACTTGTGCAGTATTCTACAATGTACCGTATTTTTTGCTCCATAAGACGCACTTTTTTCCCCAAAAAAGGGGGGAAAATGTCAGTGAGTCTTATGGAACGAATATAAAGCGGCCGGTCCGGTATTTCCGCCGCCACCATGTCAGAATACCGAGCCGGCCCCGCTCAGCAGTTCTCTGCGGCAGGAACTCACCTGTTCCTCGGTCCAGCGCTGTAGTCTTCCCGCACCGGCTTCTTCTCGCCCCGGCATCTGTGACAGCCCGGTGACTACTGCGCATAGCGCGCGAGAAGTGCTGCGCTTTGTGAATGGTCTGGTGTCTTCTGGAACTTATGACAGGTCCCAAAAGACGCCAGGCAATTCACAAAGCGCAGCCCTTCTCGCACATGTGCAGTGGGCGCCCGGCTGTCAAAGTCGGGTGCCCACAGTATAGGAAGGAGAACTCCGCGGAAGTGGGAGCGGGTACCTTTCAAATTCAGGTACGCACTCCCCCTCCCTCTCTAAAGGTCCACAGTGTCTGGTCATACCCTGTACTGTCTGCAGTCTCTGGTCATATCCTGTACTGTCTGCAGTCTCTGGTCATCTGTACTGTCCGCAGTCTCTGGTTATCTCCTGTACTGTCCGTAGTCTCTGGTCATCTCCTGTACTATCCGCAGTCTATGGTCATCTCCTGTACTGTCCGCAGTCTATGGTCATCTCCTGTACTGTCCGCAGTCTCTGGTCATCCCCTGTACTGTCCGCAGTCTCTGATCATCCCCCCCCTGTACTGTCCGCAGTCTCTGGTCATCCCCTGTACTGTCCGCAGTCTCTGGTCATCCCCTGTACTGTCCGCAGTCTCTGGTCATCTCCTGTACTGTCCGCAGTCTCTGGTCATCCCCTGTACTGTCCGCAGTCTCTGGTCATCCCCTGTACTGTCCGCAGTCTCTGGTCATCTCCTGTACTGTCCGCAGTCTCTGGTCATCTCCTGTACTGTCCGCAGTCTCTGGTCATCTCCTGTACTGTCCGCAGTCTCTGGTCATCTCCTGTACTGTCCGCAGTCTCTGGTCATCTCCTGTACTGTCCGCAGTCTCTGGTCATCTCCTGTACTGTCCGCAGTCTCTGTTCATCCCCTATACTGTCCGCAGTCTCTGGTCATCTGTACTGTGTCCGCAGTCTCTGGTCATCTCCTATACTGTCTGCAGTCTCTGGTCATCCCCTGTACTGTGTCCGCAGTCTCTGGTCATCCCCTGTGCTGTCCGCAGTCTCTGGTCATCCCCCTGTGCTGTCCGCAGTCTCTGGTCATCCCCCTGTGCTGTCCGCAGTCTCTGGTCATCCCCTGTGCTGTCCGCAGTCTCTGGTCATCCCCTGTGCTGTCCGCAGTCTCTGGTCATCCCCTGTGCTGTCCGCAGTCTCTGGTCATCCCCTGTGCTGTCTGCAGTCTCTGGTCATCCCCTGTGCTGTCCTCAGTCTCTGGTCATCCCCTGTGCTGTCCTCAGTCTCTGGTCATCCCCTGTGCTGTCCTCAGTCTCTGGTCATCCCCTGTGCTGTCTGCAGTCTCTGGTCATCCCCTGTACTGTGTCTTCAGTCTCTGGTCCTCCTCCTGTACTGTGTCCGCAGTCTCTCTGGTCATCTCCTGTACTGTGTCTGCAGTGTCTGGTCACTTCCTGTACTATGTCTGCAGTCCATTGGTTCAGAATATTTTTTTTTCTTGTTTTTCTCCTCTGAAACCTAGGCACGTCTTATGGTCAGGTGCGTCCTATGGAGCGAAAAATATGGTAAATGCACTTTTTAAACAGTAAACAAATTTATTCCTTCAAAAATGGATAGTGCAATAATCTCCATGCTAGTAAAAATGAACGTCCCAGCCCTAGCCATCACAATATTTACAGTATATTGGTGTGGCCGGCAGTTTTTATTAAGCTATGTTGCCAGGGGACCAGACATTTTATTGGGGCATTAGAGAGGCCTGGGGGGCACTTGCCCCGTGGCCCAGTCTGCCTCTGGTCACGACCCACTTTTGGGTCACAACCCATTACTTGAGAAACATGGATCTAGTGGGACAGCATTGCAGCCAATATGTTGGCCTGTCAGGAACTATGGGAAGGGGCACGGCAGAGCTCTGAAGATGAAGCAAAGTTGGTCCCTGCTGAACCAGCAGAATTTCAAACCATCTATGACCAGCTTTACTGCTTACCTGCAGTAAGTCACCCTAAAATAGTGGTAAGCCAATATGATTTTTGTGGGGATAGGGTGCAGTGGAAGGCTTTTACAGTTACAGTGGAAGTGTTAAAACTTTGGCAGATTAGAACCAGACTAATACTAAAAAGCTGCTTCAGTTACTTGTTGGCAAAGCAGTGTGCCTGCATGCCATTTCTATCAGCATCTTTCAGTATTCTTAAAGGTACAGTGTTTCTTAAAACTATATAGGTTTAAATCGTGGATCTTCAAAACTACTTGATGGGTAACTGCTGTTTGTAGTTAATATTAAAATCACTTACCAGCTCTCATTATTAAAAACAATGAATCCCTTATTGCCACGGCCAAAAGCAATTTGATTTCCTCCATTGTCCCACCAGTTAGTGAATGATTGGCCATCAACTGTGTTACGGAAGATTACCATGTTCCTAAAAGCAGAATAAAAAACCTGAAAAATCATACACAAATATATATCATGGATAAATCTCTCAGAAATTAAAGTGTATATATCATATTAATCTGTCAAATGCTGGATTTATTTTTTAATGTACACATTAATGCACATGTATAATCTGGTAGTTGGGAGTTTTGAATGTAAAGATAATGTAATGCTGGGAACACGGGGCTAACCAAGTATCCCCATGGGACCCTCTACAACCAACTCCTTCATTTCCTTCCTGTATTGTCTCCAGGGCTAACAGCTTTAACTGAATGAATATGACAAAAGGTATAAAAATAATTCTGGTGGCTCTCTTTTTAGGTCCTGTGGCTCCTTCCCTTGCGAGTGCAATATTAGGCTACTGCAGACAGTCAGTGTAGCTGTCTGCCCGTACCTCCGATACAGGCAGGCAGTTACTTTACTCCAGAAAACTCAATGGACTACGAGAGCACTCACCAGCACCCTTGCAGTTCATTGAGAACTACAAGATGTCATCATATTCTGTTTTAAACCCACATAAAGGGGCAGAGGCCATCATTTTACACATTTCAGTTTCCTGGCTTTCTTTATTTTCATGAGTGATCAGATGTATATGGTTTGGGTGGAATCAGGGTGGTTGTGGGGTTGTACAGTCCCTTGAAGAATGACTGAATTATACCCCTAAATTTACTTTAACTCACTTAATCTGGCGCCATCTGTGCTCACAGACCCAATCATTGCCGCAGGTTGTGTCAGCATTAATAGTAACTGCCTTAGTTGATCCATCAGAGTTGCTTGGGGGTCCGATCCAGTCATTGACATCCTGCAGAGTAAAAAGAACCAGTCAGGCGTAGGTATATAGTATATAGGTATCTCCATTTTCTGCTTCACATTTAGTTAAGGATAGAAAATGATAGGATGGCTTGAAGCAGGGAGAGGAGGCTCACATGAATTTGTATTCTTGAAAACATTCATTACCTGTCCATTGACAAAGTTTCTTGTCCAACGATAACTGGACATGACACGTGTGACACCATAGGGATGTGCCAACATCAAGGCAACTCCCATTTTGTACAGGCTGTAAAAATTAGAAATAGAACAAGTTTGTGCATATGACGCCATGTCTTAATTATTTTGTGTATTTGTGTCTAGTAAATCCTTACCGAGAGTCCCAGAAGGTAAGGATGGAAGCACCTCCAGCACCATGTCCTCTCTGGTTATCATGGTTGTCAACAAACACCAGTGCTCTATTGGAAGGCATGAATCCCCATCCTTCACCCCAGTTCCTGTAGGACAAACAGTGATAAGTAAATCCCTTTATACAGTCCATGTTCATCACACAATAAGATTGTTTTTTATATGTATATTTCTGTAGCAGTTTTCTCCTGCGCCAGAGTAGATTACCATCTCAAGGCTAGTTTTAAACAGGAGTCAATAAACCTACCAGTATGTCTTTGGAGTGTGGAAAGAAACCCATGCAAGCACAGTGTGAACATGCAAACAATGTAACTAATGTCCTGGTCAGAACATAAACCAGGGACCCCAGTGCTGCAAAGCAGAAGTGCTAACCACTATATCAATAGAAGATATGTCTGTACTCACTTCAGGTATGCCATCTTTTCTTGGTTCCACTTGCGAACCACATTGCCAAGCTTGGCTCCATATTTGAACTCAGTCACCCGGCCATTTCCATAGTATTCACTGGCTGAAATAGCCTCTCCACCCAGATCAATCACCTATCAGAAACACAAAAACATAATGTATGTCAATGATCACCTCAAGACAACATTTGAGCCATGTCAGGTCAAAATTGTTTGGTCAACACCACGCTGAGTAGCAGTCTGCAATAGGGAGTGTAGACATCCAATAGGCTGACGCGTTTCGAGGACTTGCCTTTTCCTCAGAGCCAACTGACCAAATGTCTGTATCCTCTTTTAAATGCTCACTACTATTTGAACCAAAGGTCACATGGGCCATCCTGGAAACTCCCCTATGCAGGGGGAGGGGTCACAGGGGCAATTGACATAGTATAAGTAAACACAAAGGATCTATATAAATATATACAGTTGCAAGAAAAAGTATGTGAACCCCTTGGGATTACGTGGAGTTTTGCATGAATTGGGCATAAAATGTGCTCTGAATGTCATCTAAGTCACAACAATAGAAGAACACAGTCTGCTAAACATAATACTACACAAACATTAGACGTTGCCGTGGTTTAATTGCACATAACATGTAAACATTCAGAGTGCAGGGAGGAAAAAGTATGTGAACCTTTGGACTTAATAACTGGTTGACCCTCCTTTGGCAGCAATAACCTCAACCAAATGTTTCCTGTAGTTGCAGATCAGACCTGCACAACGATCTGGAGTAATTTTGGACCACTCCTCTTCACAAAACTGTTTCAGTGTAGCAATATTCTTGGGATAATCGCTCTCTTAAGGTCATGCCACAGCATTTCAATTGGGTTGAGGTCAGGACTCTGACTGGGCCACTCTAGAAGGCGTATTCTGTGCTGTTGCAGCCATTGTTTTGTTGAATTACTTGTATGCTTTGAGTCATTGTCCTGTTGCATCACCCATCCTCTGCGGAGCTTCAGTTGGCGACAGATGGTCGTACGTTTTCCTGCAAAATGTCTTGATAAACTCTGGAATTAATTTTCCCATCAATGACAACAATCCGTCCAGCCCTGAGGCAGCAAAGCAGCCCCAAACCATGATGCTCCCTCTGCCATGTTTTACAGTGGGGATGAGGTTTTGATGTTGGTGTGCTGTGCCTTTTTTTCTCCACACATGGTTGTGTGTTCTTCCCAAACAACTCAATCTTGGTTTCATCTGTCCACAGTATATTTTGCCAGTAGTGCTGTGGAATATCCAGGTGCTCTTTTGCAAACTTCAAACGTGCTGCAATATTCTTTTTGGACAGCAATGGATTCCTCCGTGGTGTCCTCCCATGTACTCCATTCTTGTTTAATGTTTTCCTTATTGTAGATGTGTCAACAAAAATGTTAGCATGTGCCAGAGATTTCTGTAGGTCTTTAGCTGACACTCTGGGATTCTTCTTTACCTCATGCAGCATTCTGCGCTGTGCTCTTGCAGTCATTTTTACAGGATGACCACGCCTTAGCAACAGTGCTAACCTTTCTCCATTTGTAGACAGTCTGTCTTACCGTGGACACATGAACATCAAGGCTTTTAGAGATACTTTTGTAACCCTTTCCAGCTTCA